CTAAAAACGAAAATTTTATGTCATTATTTTTGGGACGTTACAGTAGGCAAGGTACAGACCACCTGTATGTTATAGGCGTGGGAGGAGGGCCAGTCATGGGCTGAAGGCCGATGTGTGTGTGCTTGTATGTATATTGTGGTGTGTGGTATTTTGGGGGAAGTCACTAAGATTTGGCTCACTGTTGTGGATTAAATGTTTTTCAAGTACTATTGATGATCGTGGGAAGGCGAAAGCATGACTGTACACACTCGTCAGCAACATTGAAGTTCTGCAATTATTATATCATTCTGGCTTTTTATATAACTGTAATTTGAACAAATGAGTTTTCTTAACTTGAGTTTTTATTAAAATGACGTTTGACCTTAATTAAAAATGAAAATTTTCGTTGTGAAAATGAGATGTTGCAAAAGCTATACATTTGTTGTTATTTTTAGTGAAGTGTTGGATTAAGGTGTCTAAGCCAGTAACTAAATTGATATATTCTTGTAATTAGAAACAAAGTGCTTTTTGGGTTTCCCTCATAACTAGAACGTGATTAGAATAACATTTATAGAGAGAGAATGATTTATTAGATTATTATATGATTAATAAACTAATTGGGACATATAAAGAAATAATTTGTTAATATGTTATATGATTAATATATTAATTGGAAATAGACAGTTGGTTTATTATTTTATTATGTGATTAATAAATTAATATGAGATCAATTGTTAAAATAATTGATTTGTTAATTTATATGGCTAATAAATTAATATGACATCAATTAGAACTGATTAATTATTAATGAGAATTAGTTTGGAATTAATTTGGGATTAATTAGAATTAACTAAAGGTGCAAGGGTTGAATTGTAATTGTTCAATATTTGAGCAAAAGTGGCAATTCTAGAAGCATCATGTCATGGACGATTTTGTGGAGTTCTTTAGGATTTCCAGAAGCCTTCGGGATGATAATAAAGAAAGGATTTGAAATGGAATTAAATCCATTATTTAATTATTCAAATCTTACTTTGTCCCTAAGTTACCTAAACTATATATAGGACCTCTTGGGTATCAATTTTCGTGTTTCTCTCTTCCCAGAGGGTTATGAATGAAATCATCATATCTCCTCAAGTGTTTTCTAGTTCTAGGGTTTGCGTGTGAACCATTAGAGGCATCCAAGTTTTTGGTGCTTGTTTTTCAAGGAACTTCAAGAGGATTTGATTTGATTATTTGTTATAATAATCAAAAGGTATGTAAACCCTAACCTTGTGTTAATTTTGATTTTCATAGCCTTTCTCTAGGGTCTCTTGATGTTCATAGGTTATTGCTATCAATAGAGAAAACGTAGATCCTTTTCTAAGTTGCATGTGAACTTAGGCCCCGTTTGATAGTTGTTGTCTGGGAAAGTTTTCTGACTGGGAAAGAAACCATGTTGTTTGATTGTACATCTGATTGACTGTGTTGAATGATGAAAAATGATTATATTACCATTTTGCTCTATATTGTGATGAATGGAGTTGCTAAACATACTTAATAATCCAATAAAGTAATATTTATTAATATATAAATATTATATATTATAGATAATATTTATTAATATATAATAATCCAATAAAAAAAGATTAATGCATAAAAATGAAATTACAAAAAAGAATTATTTAAAAGAAATTAATAATCCAATAAAATAATATTTATTAACACATAACTATTATATATTAAAAATAATATTTATTAATATATAATAATCAAGTAAAAAAGTAATAATCCAATAAAAATGAAATTAAAATAAGTTAATAATCCAATAAAGAAAAAGGCGAGGTTTGGGAAGTAGTCGTTACAAATAAAAGCTACACAAAATTATTTAAATCATCTAATATTTAAACAATATAAATATCATACTAAATTAATTCACATGAATCAAAATAATAAATACAAGGGTTATGATATTTTAGCATGAATCAAATTCACTAGTTAAAATGATTTAATTGGTGTCTACTTCTTATTAGTATGATCTTAGAGGATCATATATTAGTGACAATTTTATTTTATATTGTTGAGCCTATAGAACCAACACCCTTTTTATGGTTCATAGACTCAAAGTACATGAAACTCTCATTTGGATGTTTTTATTTGGTGGGAAATATCATCCTTAACACCCTTTTATGAACGTGATGTTTTTATTTGGTGGGAAATATCATTCTTAACATCTTTTTTATGGTTCATGGACTTAAAGTACATGAAACTCTCATTTGAATGTCGGATGATACACACTTATCCCACTTATCCAACCTATATAACTGCAGTTAAATATGTTAAAAACTTTGAAAATGAATTAAGAAAAAATAAAAAAAATGATGTGAGATACATCATACATTGAAAAACACGTTCAGATCTTGCGAAATATATGTTTTTATTCAAATTATTTATATTTTCTTTTAAAGATTTTTCGAGGTGAAGACCATTTTAAAAACATTTTCACTATCCATAATAGGGTTCATAGTGAACTTGATAGTTATTTTGGTGATATAGATTAAAAAATGATTAGTTTATTAAGTGAGCCAATCCATTTTCATCAATTTTGTATTTATTCAATAGTTGAATTATCATAATAATTTACTTTTTTTTGCAAAAAAAAAGTTACATATTTGGAACAAGTTTTATTGATAAGTAATAATTTAAACCGTATTATCTAATAAAAGAACTATTTTGTGGAAAATGATAGTGCATTATCAATCCGGAATGAACCAGTAAAACTGATGGAAGACAATTTGGACGTAGAACCTTGGGGTAAAATCGGATAAATAATATATATATATATATATATATATATATATATATATATATATATATATATATATATATTATTTGAAATATCCAGAAATCTGGCGGCAAAAACTTTGGATAAATTTTCAAAAGAGGAATCAAACTCAGAGACATCTTAACCGTTGGGGACTGTTTTATAGTTGCTTAGTGAGTCAAGGCTTGATTAAGTTAGATTTTGTATCTTATCGGACATAGTAAAAGGCATGTCAGAGACTATATGACCAAATCAAAGACTTCTAATTGTTGTATCAAACGCTAACGGTATGGATCTGACCAAAAAATATCAAGCCTCTAACCAAACACAATAAAAGACATATCAAACTCGTAAGTAATCTTATGAGTTATGATTTAAAAGGCCTCGCATAACTCTTATCATATAAAATAATTAAAAGACTAATAAAACTTGAGTAAATTACACGAATAGTCCCTATGGTTTAGGGTAATTTGCGCGTTTGGTCCCTAATTTATTTTTTTTAACTCGGAAGGTCCATACTATTTGTTTTTGTTACGCGCTTGACCCCTGTCTTACCTAAAAATACTATTTTACCCTTGATTTTTTGATTTATTAAAATAAACACATCCCCAATCACACCCTCTCACCTTACCTTACCTACCCTATAATTTTTTCTTATTTAATAATAGTCTTTTTAGGTAAGATAGGGACCAAATGTGTAACAAAAACAAATAGTAAGGACCAAGCGCGTAACAAAAACAAACAGTAGGGACCTTCCGAGTTAAAAAATAAGTTGGGGACCAAACGTGCAAATTACCCCAAACCATTCGTGTAATTTACTCATAAAGTTTAGTTCTTGGGTTGTATATCATCATTAAAAGACGACAAAATTGCAAGAATGGTCCCTGTGCTATGTCCAATATTGCTACTTTGGGCCAAACAGATTTGGACTAGCACCAATAGTCCAAAAGTTTTCATTTTGCTGCGGTTTTGGTCCAAATCAATTTTAAAAATCTAAAAATGACAGATTTGCCCTTTTCCATTTGTTTTTTGCTTTTCTTTTTGTTATTTAATTATTTTCTAACTAAAAAAATAAAATAAATAAATAAAATAAAATATCTCTCTCTCTTTCTCTCTCTCTCCACCATTTTTTTTGCAGATTTATTTGGTTGAAGAACATATGCATCTGCATCTTCATCTTGGCGGGATCCACTAAAAACAAACACACACTAAATCATCTAAACCTTCATCCAAATCATTTGTGCATCTTTTATCCAATCAATTGAAAAACAAACATACATACACTAAATCCACATCTCCTGCTGGGTTTTTTCCCTAAATTGAAAAGCAGTTTTCAATCGGACCACCTGTCAACTAAATGATCGCCTCCGCTTGACCAGAAAATCAAAACCTTTGGAATTAATCTTGATTTTGTTTCGAAATCAAAGTTCATTGATTTGAAGTCCTATGAGAAGAACCTAGTAAGGAATCAAGGTTATTCATCTCATCGGAGGCGGGTTTGATTGAACTCACTGTTATGATGCTTCTTTGTTGTTGTATGTGTTTGAGGACGAGAACGACGGAGATGATGTTGGAGAACGATGCCATGACCGGACCCGTTGATGAACAGAATTGGGTCGGGTACTGGAACTTGGGTTCGATCGACTGAGAAATTCAGACGATGTCATGATCGCAAAGAGCTAAACACTTGAAGATGAAATCGAAGAGGCGGGAAGTCGTTTCCAGGTCTCAGTCAAATGAACCTCTCCGGCAACCTATTCCAACAGTACCTGTGTGAACGTCAACGTTTTATTTGGAGAGAAGGAGACCGGAGAGAAAAATCGAAAAATAATGGTATCTCCGGTGAGATTGAATGAACTTCGGTGAAGTTTTCTGATAAAATCTTTCAAAAGAGATAATCGGGATCCAGGAGCATCAAAATGAGATATAGTGACAACACAGTAGGTAAGAGAGAGAGAGAGAGATTTTCTTTTATTTTTTTATTTTTTTAGTTAGAAAATAATTAAATAACAAAAAGAAAATCAAAAAACAAATGGAAAAGGGCAAATCCGTCATTTTTAGATTTTTAAACTGATTTGGACCAAAACAGCAGCAAAATGAAAACGTTTGGACTATTGGTGCTAGTCCAAACCTGTTTGGCCCAAAGTAGCAATTTTGGACATACCATAGGGACTATTCTTGCAATTTTGTCTTAAAAGACTAATAAAGTTTAGTTCATGGGTTGTATATCATCATTATTTAGTGAGATATTTTCTTATTAATTTACATATTTACACTCGTTAGTTGTATTGTTTTACGTATTTACACTCGTTAATTACATCATCCGACAATGACCAAACATGTAATTTTCTTAATAGTTTATTAAAAGACATAGGACTATAAAAGTACATTTTTTCCAAAAAGACAAATCTACAGTGAAAGTCAACAATCAGAATTTGATTATTCTATACAATAAAAATCAAAAAGTCAAAAGGAAATTATCATGATCCTTATCCCCAAGTAGCCCAATTAGCTTCACTTCCAACCCTAGGCATTGCTTGTGTGGTCTTTGAATACACATCAACTTTAAATGTAGCACCACACATCACTCCTTCACTATCAACCCTTGATATTGCCTTCATTTTGTTCTTTGGATGCTCAAAGCTCATTAATCCCCCTTCTGTATGATACATGCACCCTATACAACAAACAAAAACAACAAGCATCAATATACCAAAATAAAAGAACATGTTTTGTGGGTTAAAAAACCGGTTCTTTTCAAGTCTTTTGACCCCAAAAAACAAACTTAACGTCATGGTAACCAATTCTTTGAGGCCTAGAGGTGGGCATCCAAATCGGTTTAGGAAAAAACACTTGTTGGGCCTCATTTTCACTTTTCATGTAAAGCACAAGCCAGAATTGGGCTATTCTTGGGTGTTGGGCGTTAACTCATATATACAACATTATGTAAAAGACAAGAGATTTGATTACCCCACAATTTGATCCAAATGAAGAGAGGTTTAAAGTCTTTACCAGATGGGAATGGCGCAAATGATTTTGAGCAGCTAGACTTTATGACCATCAAGTTGTCAGAAATTACAACAGAGCCATCGGCTGCTATGCCCCAGAAAAGCTTCACTCCTCCATCGGCACCCTATGGATCATCACCACCAATTTACCATATTAAGTAAAATGTCGAACACGCCCTCTTTATTATTGTAAATAACATGATACATGAGAGTATAAGTATTGAGAGGATACTTACAAGTGAGACAAAGACAGTTTTAGCCTTGAGATCATAGAGTATAAACCCAAAACTACCCTCAAGCTCCCTGAGGACTGAGTGGGCCGGGTATGGGCCACGATCACGAAGAGTCTTGTAAGCCTGGATCACAAACATGGGCTCATTGACTTGCTTTGTTAGCCCATATTGCTTGTTAAGAGTGCACAAGTTGTCTAGACCTCCCAAAAATATGCAATAGATGTTATCCATGCTACTAAACAACCTGCAAATACATTTCATTAATGTCACAAACCAAACAAAAATCATTCTATAACACTAGAAAGTTTTCTTTTTTGTTGTGTTGTGTAGAAAATAAAGGGTTAATGCATGTGTATGAGTGTATCTAAGCAACGACTTTTCATTCCTTGCAAATGTTTGTAACAAAATAGTCATTAGACGAAATTGTGGTAACAGTTGAATGCTTATCTATGCAACAATGTTTTATTTTATTTTTATCAATTTATATGGATACTTAAGGAGTTTATACAACAATATTTCACTTTTTACTAAGTTATATAACTACGCATACGAATTATAGAATCACATTTCAACTGATTACATGAATTACAACAAATTACAAATAAAATGTTACCTTTTTGTCTTAAAATAAATGGCTTTGTGCATGTTTAGTATAGAAAACCAAGTTTTAGATAAATTGAAAAAAAAAAGGTAGAACTTTATTACATAAATAAATATTATGTAAAAATGAAAAGGTTACCTTTGTTGGGAAGAAGGATCAAACGCCAACGAAGCATCATTTCCAAAAGAAAATGAGAGACAATTGGGATTGGAATTCAAGAAATGGCTCATGGGATCTTGATTTTGATGATGATTTTTGTATTGTTGGGCATGTGATGGACTATTGAGTTCTTTTGGTGCACTCACCAAACCTTTCTTGAAATTAGCCAACATATTTTTCTTGAAACTAAAGAAAAGAGATGTAGATTTTTCGTATGAAATGAATAGATGATTGTGAATGTTAAAAGTGTTTGTATGTGATGGTATTTATAGTCGTAATATTTGGTAGGGGATATGACAATATTATCCAAAACAAAATATTGGATAAGACATGTGACTCGAGATATGGTGGGTCATTTCTTTAATAAAAGGTACCTTTTTATTTATTTATTTGTCCGGAGTTAAACATATGAAAATACAACATATTCTTTTAATTTACTGATGTTTATTAATTTCATTGTCGGGGTAATCGTTATAATGATTAAATTAATGATATAGAAATATAATTGACTATAATACAAACTCGTTCTTAGTTATTTTTTTAATACAAAAATATTTCAATTGAAGGTTTAAAAAAAAAAAAAAAAACAATAGAGATATTTAGTTATATAACTATAAATTACTATAATTATCAAAAATCATTTCATTTTTTAAAGAAAGGTAGTACACTTTTGTTTGAGGTGGGACCAAAGAACAACGAATTGGTCCACGTGAAGGTGACGATTATCCAACTCAATATGTTCATCCTCGTCTTTTCCCTTTTTTTTCAACAATTAATTAATTTTTTATAACTAACGAAACTAATATATATGAAAACTAACTTTTTAAATTTCATTCAATCGGTTTTATATTTTAAAAGGTAATCGATTTATGTTTTCTCTATGGTTACATGTTATTTTAGGTTAATAGATCATCCTTTTTTAAAGGGATAATGACTTAAAAGGGTAATATATTTTTTAATTTGTACACATTTGTAATTGAGTTTTTTTTTTGTCAACATTTACCCCTTCAACTTGTTAAACTGTACACATTCAATCATTATGACCGGTTACCCTAGGTTAGCCGGGAAAAATGACTTAATAGGGTAATATATTTTTCATTTTGTACACATTTAGTCCCTTAATATTTTTGTACACATTTAGTCTTTAATATTTTTTTTTCAAAATAATTCAATTTTGTTTTCGTACTCATTCGGTACTTATGAATGATTTCTTTAGGTTTTTCTCACGACATCTTACGTGTGACAATCATTGATGATGTGTTTCGGGTTGTTGATGCTTATATTCATCGCGATCTCGACTGCTTAGTTGTGTAGGTCTTGTGGTTTGGCTTAGGTCTTGTTTTTGAACGTCGTAACTTCTTCATACGATATCATATTTTAACGATCTTTATATCCACATGTTCGTTTTTTGAGTCTACTATAACTTTCGTTAAGATTTCTCCCGCTAAAATGTAATATATTTTTACTTACGATTTTATAAAAAAAAACATCCATACGTGTATTCTAAAAAACGTATGGATATAAAGATCGTAAATAAAAATATATTACTTTTTAACGGGACTAATCTAAAAGAAAGTTGTAGTAGACTAAAATACGAACGCATGAATATAAAGATCATTAAAACCAGAGATCGTATGAAGAAGTTATGACGTTCAGAACACATGACCTAAGCAACCAAGTAGTCGAGATCGCGATAGACATAAGCATCAAAAGCCCCAAAACATCTCATTAATGATTGTCCCATGTAAGATGTCGTGAGAAAAATCTACAGATGTCATTCATAAATACTGAATGAGTACAAAAACAAAAATGACTTATTTTGCAACAAAAAAATATTAAGGACTAAATGTGTACAAAAATATTAATGACTAAATGTGTACAAAATGAGAAGTATATTACCCTATTAAGTCATTTTTACCGGCTAACCTGGAGTAGTCGGTCATAAGGACTGAATGTGTACAGTTTAACAAGTTGAAGGGGGGTAAATATGGACGAAAAAAAATTCTCAATGACTAAATGTGTACAAATCGAAAAATATATTACCCTTTTAAGTCATTATCCCTTTTTTAAATTTTACATTTTTGATTTAGATTTTAAATTTTATTAAATATCTTGTTCGAATTTAAAATTTTGTTATAAATTTAGCTAAATTTAAGTTTCTTTTACAAATTTATTAATCTAAAATCTTTTTCTGCATGGAAGGTCCAAATTTAAATATCCCTGCGGTATTCAAAAAACTTTGGATAGGGTCCAAAAAGTTTTCAACTTGCATGGAAGGTCCAAAATCAAAGTTTTTCTGGGTTTTTGGTCCAAAAAAACTTAAAAAGACAATTTTACCCTTTTCATTTCTTTTTTCTATTTTCTCTATTTATTTTGGTATTTAAACAATTATAAATAAAAAATAAAAACTAAAATCTCTCTTTCTCTCTCTCTCTCTCTCTCTCTCTCTCTCTCTCTCTCCACCCACCGTCTTCCCCAACCTTGTTCCTTTCTTGTTTTTTCTCCACGATCATAATCATGCTGGAGGCGGAAATATTTTCTTCAACACCAAACATTCGTCTATCGGGAACACCTTTCAACCCTTCTCTCTTTCTTTTCTCCATTACATACTGCCCTAAATTAGTCACCGAAGGTTTCTTTCCAGTGATAATCTCCAATATCAAAATCCCAAAACTGTAAACATCCGATGTGTGACTAAAGGACTTTGAAATACTTCGTGTTCGTTTTAATTTAGGCACCATTCGACCACAGTTTCTTCTAATAATCATGGAAGTAGAGATAAGATACGATGTTTCATAGCTGGAAAGACGAGGTGAGAAGTCGCTTTGTATTAGAAAGTTAGATGATTTTAGCATCCCGCAGAGAAGACCTCGACTGTGAATTGACGCTACTGCTTTCGCTGCTCCGAACACTATTTGTTGTCTGACTTCCCAATTTAACGGCATAAATTGAACGCCTTCGCTTCCTGCGAAATTGAAATCGGATAAAGGTAAAAATTAGAAACCCCAGTTTTCGATTATGGGATTGCTTACCATGTAGGAGCTCCTCCAAGCCAAGTTTGTTCTTGGGGAGTTGAATAGATCATAGGGGTTGAATGTTACGATGGTTTCATGGTCTCCGAAGACGATTCTGGTGGGAAGTGTGATTTTGACTTGTAAGGAGATTGGGGTTTGGTTTGTGAGTTGGGTGGTGGTGGGTTTGGTGAGTTTGGTTGTGATGATCCCGTCTCGAAGAAGATGAAGAGAGAGAGAGAGAGAGAGAGAGAGAGAGAGAAAAAAAGAGAGAGTAGTGGGAGTGGGTGGGAGGATAATTCTTTTTTTATAATTAAAATGGTATTACAATAATCATAAAAAATACAAAAAAGAAAATAAAAGGGTATAACTGTCTTTTTAAGTTTTGTTGGACCAAAAACCCAGAAAAACTTTGATTTTGGACCTTCCATGCAAGTTGAAAACTTTTTGGACCCTATCCAAAGTTTTTTGAATACCACAGGGACCAATTTTGCAGTTTTGTCTTATATTTATAAGAGTTTTTCGTTAACTTTTTTTCAACTTTTAAATGAAAAAAATCTTTTACAATATTTTTGTTAACTTTTTTTCAACTTTTTCATTACCACATATACGTTAGCAAATCAATTTTTCTCGATGCACTTGAATTTGTTAAAAGGGAAATCTCCAAAAAAATCTCAATATTTTGGGTCAGTTTACGAAATAATCTCAAATTAATTTTCTTTTACAAAAAAAATCCTAAAAACAGGGAAAATGTTACATTCTGACCATTTTTTCCGGTTCAGCCGGTAACATATTAATTTGGACGTCCGGAGATTTCTATAATTGTTATTTTGAACGTCCGGCGATTTCGGAATCAGATTTTTGAACGTCGTCGTCGTGTGATCTCAGCCCTTCTTCTCCGGCGGGAGCAAACGCCGGCAGGGATGAGGATTCTAACTTCTTGTTCTATTCTTCTTTCTTGATTGGCAGGCGTTGTCCTGTATTACGGTTCTTCCAGTTCTATCGTGATTATTACTATGGGGTATCAAAATTATAGGATGTCGACTGGTAATGGCTGGGAAAAAGATCGATTTCTTAAGGGAAAGAATTTGCGATACATACCTCAATCCAAGCGTGAAGATCATCTTGACAGGTCTGATGTACACTCTTTCTATGTAACAAAATTTCCTGAAACCATTCTACCTTCCGATATGTGGCGTGCTTGTTCTCGATTGGGTAGAGTGGTTGATGTATTTATTTCAAATAAGAAATCGTGTATGGGAAAAAGATTTGGATTTGTTAGATTTTCAGGAATTCATAACATTGATCATATGATCAAGAGGTTATGTGATGTTTGGTTTGTATTTCACAAATTGTTTGCCTTAGTCCCACGTAATCGTAAGAAGGATCTTCCTAAACATAAGATTCATTCTCAGGTTGCAAAGCATGTTCCTTCAAACACTTCGTTTGCAAGTGTGGTTAGAGGGCATCATGTTGAGAAATCTAGTAAAGATACGAGCGAGGCTGCTATTGTTATTGAATCAGGAGACTTCATTATCGATAATAAGAAGCTAGCTTGCTTGGTTAAGGCTAGAGATTTTAATACCCTGCCTAACTTGGGGATGTTGTTTCATGATGAGGGATTTGAGAATTTTCATATCCGGTATGTTGGGGGCCTAGGGGCAATGTTCGAATTTAGTTCTAAGGAGGTGTGTAAAAACTTCTTGGAACGTGATGTGGTGAATCATTCGATCATTGAAAAAAGAAAATGGGACAGAAACTTTGTACCTTCGAACTGTATAGTTTGGGTTGATATCGAAGGGCTGCCTTTACGTGCCTGGAGCAAATTGGCTTTCAGACAAATTGTGGCTAAGTGGGGTATTATCGTCTATTTAGATGACAATATTGGTGAAGAGATTTACAAGTCTTGTGTGTGCATCTTGACATCGTTCTTTGGTATCATCTCGGAGGTGGTTAAAGTTAGTGTTGATGGTATTATTTTCGCAATAGAGTTAAAGAGGCGCCCGGTTGGAATCCAACATTCTCGTGTGAGTTTAATAATGTTGTTCAAAGTGATGATGAGGAGCAAGGCCAATTTGAACAAGATGGATGTAATACTTCAATATTTGACAAGGAAGAACATTCACAAGACTCGTTTAGAATATATGAGACACTAGAAAAACTTGATAAGGAAGATCAGAAAAACAGCTACACAACCAACCATTCCAAAGGCACTTTTCAGGGGCATTTTGGGAACAAATTTTAGGAAAATGAAAATCAAAATTTCCAACAGTTTTCGAATTTTCCTGCCACTGTGATCGCTTCTGTTGCAACCTCGTCGCAACATCCTCAACATGTTCCCCAGCCACCTGCTGCATCTCCGACAACCCTTGGTGATCCTCCGGCAGCCCCTGCTGCAGATTCGATTGACGCCCCGACTGATGTGTCAACAACCGCTTCGACTGCCACTCCATCTGTTCTTGTTCAACCAGTTTTAAATGAATCAGCTCCAATCTCGAAAATATATCATCTAAAGGTGTTGGTATTTCAGCACCTCAACTGACTAATCAGTTTCATGCTAGTCCAGTGGGTTTTTCGAGAGGTTATGGACGTGTTTCAGGCATTAATAATTATGAAGATGATCTTACTCATCCCCCGGGTTTTTCTAACTAGTGTTATTTGTTTATGGGGGATAATCAAACTGTCTCGGAGGGCCTTCAAAATAGTAATTCGTTCTTTATGGAATAGAAAAGATGATAGACACGGGAGAATATTTAGGGTATAATATGGATGGTTGTTTGGACCGTGTTAAATAAATCTTACAAGGGCACGTTGAAAGACAAAATTAATGAATTGTCTTTCAATAAATGTTCAAGGAGCGGGTTCTTTAGAAAAGCGGAGTTGGGTTAGAAAATTATGTAATTTCCATAAAATTAATTTTCTAGCCATTCAAGAAACAAAGATGGAAGACGATGATTTGGCCACGGTTAGATCCTTTTGGGGTAATTCTTCTTTTACACATGCTTTTTCTCCTTCTCGAGGAGCTTCGGGTGGTATTGTTGCTGTTTGGGACTTAGATTGTGTTTCTAAAAAAACGTGTCACTATTTCGGACTAGTTCGTATGGGTCTCGACGTCATGTTTATTGTTGTGTATGCCCCACAAGGAATTAGAAACAAAAGAAAATTTTGGGATAATATTTCTAGTTTTATTTCACCTTTTCAGGGGAGAGTATTATCATGGGTGATTTTAATGAAGTTCGGGATGAAACGGAGAGATTGGGTTTGATTTTTAATCAAGCTTTTGCTAGAGTTTTTAATGATTTCGTTGATAATCTTGACCTTTCTGATATTCCGTTGGGCAGACCTCGTTTTGCTTGGAGTGACAAATGGGGATCCAAGTTTAGCAAACTTGATATGTTCTTGGTCACGGATGGTTTTCTGAATGTTCTTCCTCATCTTGCGGGTCTTGTGTTGGAAAAAAACATCCCCTATTACCGTCCGATTCTTCTGTTAGAGCATCGGGTAGATTATTTCCCTACTCCTTTTCGTGTGTTTCATTCGTGGTTTGATAGAGATGGCTTTGAGGCTATAGTGCATGATTCCTGGTTGAGTGAGTTGTTTGGGGAGGGTTTGGATAACCCATGGGTGAGATTCAATAAGAAATGATAGCTTCTTAAATCTAATCTCAGGGTGTGGAATTTAAATAATCGGGACCTGTTTGCTAAAAAAAAGGAAGAATCTCCAATATTTAATTGAATCTATTGATAGTCGTCTGATGGTTGAGGACGGGTCTTCTAGTTTGAGAGAACAGAGGGTCTCCTTATTAAAGGAGATATCAAATTTGGATCACTTAGTTCAGTTAGATCTTGCTCAGAAGGCGAAGATTTAGTGGGGAATAGAAGTTGATGAAAACTCGGGTTATTATCATGGAATTCTTAATCGGAAGAGGCACCAAATCGCTATTCATGGTCTTTTGATTGATGGTGTGTGGGTTGATAACCCAATCCAGGTTAAGAAGGGGTTTTCATGCGTATTATCAGTCTCTCTTCTCGGACAAAAAGTATTGGAGGCCTAAGACCGATGCTAGTTATTTTAGTACTTTATCTTCATTGCAGGTTGAATTTTTAAATTCTCCTTTTACCCGGGAGGAGATTAAAAGGGCAGTTTGGGATTATGGTTCTTCTAAGGCCCCGGGACCGGATGATTTCACTTTTAGGTTTCTTAAGCGTTTTTGGGATCTTATAGTAGAGGCGTTTGTTCTACACTTCTTTCATCATTCTACTATTCCAAAGGGGTGTAATGCTTCCTTTTTCACTATTATTCTGAAAATCAGAGACCCGGAGACTGCAAAAGATTTTAGGCCTATTAGTCTAATTGGATGCCAATATAAAACTATTGGTAAACTGTTAGCTAATAGACTGGCAGAAGTTATTGATAGTGTTGTTAGCATGGAACAGTCTGCCTTTGTCAAAGGTAGACAAATATTGGATGGTCCTTTTCTTCTAAATGAAGTAGTTGCTTGGAGCAAGTCCTCTCGAAATCCATTGTTGTTGTTTAAGGTGGATTTTGAGAAAGCTTATGATTCCTTATCGTGGGACTATCTTTTGGAGATGATGAAGACCATGGGATTTGGAGATATATGGTGTGGGTGGATTAAGAAGTTATCATGTACTGCTAGGGCCTCTGTTTTAGTTAATGGCTCCCCGACCGATGAATTACAAATTCATCGTGGTTTGAGACAGAGCGACCCTTTATCTCCTTTTCTTTTTCATTTGGCTATGGAAGGGCTTCATGTTTCTTTGGTTAGGGCCCGTTCGTCTAACGTTTTCAAGGGGATTTCTATTTCAGGGGTTGAGATTTCGCATCTTCTTTATGCGGATGATGTCATGTTGATTTCTTCTTGGGATCCTAAGAATGTGAACCGTCTTATTTGTATTCTTCGGTGTTTTTATATG